TATAACATATGGAGCACATCAGATCAGTTACAAATTTATTCTTGGTCTAAATCCATATCCTCCTGGTGTCACTTCAAATTGACGCCTTCTTTCTATATATTTTCACCATTTTGCTAAAATGTTTGTATTTTCTTGATTTATAAACTTCATGTAAGTTACTTTTTCATTTGAGGAAGAAACACTTTGACAAAATAATAGTGGAAAATACTACCACAGACTTTAATCATATTATAAAATAACGAAGTAAGTTAGTAAATATTTGTAACTGAAATACTTTCACTGGAGTGTTACACTGTTCGTAAAGCATATCCTGTTGACGTCAATTTCAAACTTACCCCGCCCTTTTTTCATATATTGTGACCATTCGGTTTAACTTCCGTATTTTCATTATTTCAAATAAAAAATATATTGGAAGATTTCTAAGTTTTCACTTTAAAAAATGATATTTTATAATTACAATTTAGATATAGGGGAAAATGAAGGTGTTACTTTAAACTGACGCCAAGATTATGTGGTTTCAAAGTTAAGGAACATACTTCATAGTGATTGATGCCACACATTCTTCCCAAATTTTCATTGTTGTAGCATTTATATAGATGTTTACTAAGAGCTTATTACAGTACATCGACAGAAGATTGAGAAATTGGGATCTGAAGTTTGTGCCAATCTTCCAAACGGAGGGGGCCTGTTTGATTTCAAAATCCGTATTTGAAATCTTGGCTTAAACCTCGGACTTCTTTCTCCAGTGGGAGACATAACTTTCTCGGACTCAAGGCTGGCCATATCCAGACTTTATATACAGATAACTATATATTAGTATTGCATACATAACTGGAAAACAATGGTCATTATTTGCATTATTTACACGCGGAGTATTGTCTCTCTATCCTTGTTGCTGTTATCACAACGTTTCGGTTGTTGTACCCTCCGGCCCTCATCAGGTGCTTTTCGACCCAGGTAACCTTGAGATAGTTTGGAACTAACTTTGTTTCATTTACGGTGGTAGATTATTCTTGTTCCGCTGATCATGTCTAGATATTCATCTCCTCTTGTTCTTATATTCAGTACTGCTCAGTTATTGCTCGCCCCGTTTATATCCAAGATATCCGTAGACGCATGCGTAAATGGGGTGACAAAACTTTTGGACCACCCTGTACCATTGATTTGTGCATTGAATACTGCTGCCATATCTGACCTGCTGCACCAGTGATACATTTCGAGGTTCTTGACAAATCCAAAAAAAGATCTGTAATCGATCCTGACCAGTCACTTTCTCACCGTTGTGGCGTTGATTCCCTCCGTCTTTTCTACAAATATTTTCATGGCAACTGCTCTGACGAATTTTTTCCCTGCTACCCAGTCTACATGATTTTAAGCGTGCGATTAGAATCGCATCTTTTACTGTTGTAATAGCTAAATGCAACCGCCACTTCTAGTCCAACACTTTCTTTTCTCGCACTTTCCACCTGTGGAACTCTCTTCCATTTACTTGCTTCACTGATAACTACAACATGTGAATGCAACGTCAATCGCCATCTTTTGTCTTCTTGAATCCCATTCATCTTTTGTCCTTTTCGCAATCCTCCTTATACTCGGTCTTCACTTTCAGTTTCCTTCCCTGTAACCCCCTGTGTACTAGTGGCATTCCCACCTTGACCGGGGTGAAATTATATATATATATATATATTGATCCCAGTGAAAATGCTGAGAGGATATGTTAAAGAAAGCAAGTAGGAATGTCAAATCTCGTAACTGAAATAACGGATGATGTTGAAGGAACTGATAAATTCTCAACCAGTCTTTCCTTTCTGAGACACGTTTCCTCTGTAAAAATATATTTTATATAACCTATATTAAAGAATCATTCAGTAAAATGAAAGTATAAAAAATGAGTTCAAAACAATGCTAAGTGAGGAAAGTTTCGGTTGAACGCACTGGCAATTTTTTCATGTCAATAGGACACATTCTCCACATTGTCGTTTGTCGCGCTTAAATTCAGGTTTGGATGAAGAGAGCAGAATAACAAACTGAGAATCCATGCTAGCAAGTGCTGATTATTGACGTGTGATTCGTTTATTGTGTTCGAATGCAGTGAGTGAATGTCAAGTCGTTCATCAAGACGGCAGTTATTTCAAGATTTTGAAGTCGAATATATTCCTGATATTTCTTTATATCTTTTTAAATACGAAAGGTAAGTTGAGGCTGAGGATATTTTAAAGAAATTTGGCAGTATTTTAGGATGAAATATATATTCTTTTTTGTAAAATTATTTCTGTAATAGATTTTATGGCCTATAATTGAATTTATAGCATTAAAGGTAATATACTTAAACAGATATTAATAAATAAATCCCTCACAATTAATGCATGTAAAAAAAGCAACATCTGCATGCGTTTTTACATTTTCAGACATTCACATTATTTTGCAGAAAGCGTCAAAGTTTACTGTATCTGATTTTTTATCTTTTTTTTTTAATCGGTTTCACTCCCTGCAAGGCAATAAAGCCACTAAAACACAAAGGGTTACAGGGTGTGAAAGAATTACGAAAAGAAACATTAATAATGAGCGGGAAGAGAAAAGAGTAAGCAAGAGGACAGTAGATAGCGATTGACATTGCATTTAAATTTTTGAAGATCAAAGTTAGCTGAAAAACATGGAGCCGTAAGTTCCGCCAGCAGGAAAAGAAAATTAGCATAGAGTTTACGGATACATCTAGCCAAGCACAACTGCAAATTGATGAGATATTGAGCTTACATTCAAAAGCTCTGGTTACCATAGCGAAGATCTCATTCGAACAATTACCATGAAAGTGTTTATAGAAAAGACACAGAGAGGCAACCTTACGCCGAGCCACCAGGTGAGGACCGATAATATTGCTGATTCTTCTTTGGACTTTATGATATGTGAATATTTTTTACAAAACGCACGGACCGTATTATCTTAAGGATTTCAAGTGATAATTTACTCTTTTTATGATAATGATATTCTAGATAATTTTAGAGAATTTGCAAAAAAACTAAGGCCGTACTATTTGAAAATTCACGAACTTTGAACAGCGGTCGAGAAACAGCAGTACTCTTTGTGAGTCAATGTGCAAACATGCTTTAACCGACTATTCTGAAAGAAACGGTGTAACGCAAATGTTTTTACTGGTAAAATTCATCGAGCTTTTGGTTAGTACTTTGTATACACCTATATTTAGATCGGCGAGCCGGGTTCGAATTCTGGTTTTGTTTCTTATAACTGCTTTCGCACTAATGCTGTTGGGAAAGGTAAGAATCCATCTCTTCTCTTTCCACGTATAACTTAAATAACAGGACAGATGCCTTGGTTGGTAGCCAGTCTAGAAGGACAGTCCAGCTGAATTCAAAACATGAAGAAGTCAATGGGAAATCCCTCCACTATATTTCCAAAGAAAGGAATCCGTAGGAGGTCCATAATTGCTTTGGTCCTGAAGTGATATGATATTGAAAAAACAAAAGAAAACAAAACACAAAAAAGAAAACAAAACACAAAAAAGAAAGCAAAACACAAAAAAGAAAACAAAAACAAAAAAACAAAAACAAAAAAACAAAAAAACAAAAAAAAAAAAAAACAAAAAAACAAAAACAAAAAAACAAAAACAAAAAAACAAAAACAAAAAAACAAAAACAAAAAAACAAAAACAAAAAAACAAAAACAAAAAAACAAACAAAACTGAAAGCAACAGATATTACACGTTGATCTAAGAAATAAAATATTTATGCGGCACATTGATACGTGCTCGTTACAAAACTAAAACATACCTCAATTACAAAGCAGAATTTTCTCTATCGAATTCATAATTAATTTGCTTTATCGCCTAAAAAAATAAGTTAAGCAGCTGCTAATTAACATTTCAGTTCACAGGTAATTTTTATTATATCCATAGATTTCCAGAGATATGAACAACTTGCAGTTAAAGACCATTGGTTACACGTGCCAATGAAGTGTAATGTTCCCGGTCATTATCATTTATGTGCTGTGGCCCTTCAGGATATTGGCGATCATGGCTCTTCACAACTTCCTCTTCCTTGTAGCATTAAGCAACTTTTGACTCTTATCGTCATTCATGTCCCTGCTCTGACATACATTCAAACAAACTCATTTTCTAAGTTATTGTTTCTCTCTACACTCCTTCCCCCAATACGCCCTGTGAGTATTCAATTTTCCAAGCCGTCTCTTCCCCATAATGAGTCCCAGAAATCTCGCATATTCCGTTCATGGTATTTTCAACATTCGTCTGTGGAAGAATATATCCGTTACTTTGAGTTTTTCTTCATCTGAAAGGAAACTGTCCAGCATTCACTGATAGATATGGCATAGTATTTCAGTACTCTTTTCTTTGTTTCTAACGAAATTTTTCTATTTAACTGCTTAGTTTCCGGAAGGCATCTTTTGCTATTGCAATGCGCCTTTGGATTTTTAGGTTGGATTTTTCGTCGTCTGTAACTATCGTACCCAAATAGTTAAGTTTCCATACCTGCATGATTTGGATATCTACAATTCGAAGCTCATATCTTTGGCTGTCTCTCTTTTTTTAATCAATTCACCTCAAGCAAGACTACAACGTTACTAAGACGCAAGGGAATGCTGAGAATGAAAAAGACCGAGAAGGCTTTAGTAAGAACCGAAAACCCAATCCTAAACAGGAAATAAGAGATAAAGCTCTAGCCCTGTTAAAAAGACCGGGGAGGAGTATGAACCGGTTGGTTGATAGATTCGTTTTTTACGCCTTATCAATCATTTGCAGGTTACTAAAAGTCATAAAATATTTTTAGATTTTAAGAATTTATTTTTTGGGGGGGGGGGGGGAAAAATGATTTAATGACAAGTCTTATTAATTAACCCATAGCAGGGGGAGAAGATGTGAATTCATACCTTTTCGAAGGGTATTTACGCGTAAGCGAATCTAATGGAAATTGTGACTCGGCTCACCTATTAACAATTCCCAGCCATTATCCAGTACACTATCCACACATCCAAGCGATCACCCATTTATGTACAGACCAGGCTCGACGTTGCTTAACTTCGGTGATCGCATGGGGACCGGTATTCCAACGTGATATGACTGTAAGCCAGAGTGGGAACCGGGTAATAAGCTAAACTTTTACTTCTATTAGATTGTTGACGACCATACAATTATAATTACTTGTGATCTATTTTAAAATAAAAAGAAATATTTTTAAAAATAAAGCTATTTCTTCTTTTACGAGAACTGATAATTATAATCGTGCTCTAAATTTTTAAGTAATGTGTGTTTATCAGGGTGTAAGCATTTTTTTTTTTTTTGTTAGGATTAAAGTGTTCATGTTTTTCTGCAGGACTTCTCTATGTTACAACTTGAGCCAAAAGAATTAGAAAGAAAGAAAGAAAGAAAAAGAAAATCAGCATTTCTGAACAAAGTTATAACCTCAAGATTAGATATATATATATATATATATTTTTTTTTACACAATTTAACGATTTAGATATCCTGCTAGGTTAAATAGCAGGCTAGACTGGGCTTTCTAGAGTTTAGGGGTAACGAGTCTAAAAAAATGGAAACTCCCAATTCAAAACCGGGTAGAAGACAGCGGGGCAAAAACATTTCACTATGTTTCCCAAGAAGTCATTGCCATTCATAGATAATAAAAGAAAGGAGAATATCATGTTCGTAAACGTTTTGAAGGGACATGGTATTAAAACAAAAGGCATTGTGAATAATATAAAATTGTAACACTGAGAATAACCAGACTTAAATGTTGAAGATTAAAAAAAACAAAAAAAACGTAATTTCTCATGCATGATACGCATTTTTTCTGGAAAAAAAAGAAGCAAAATCAGGGGTACGTATTATGCACAGCTACAAAAAATCTTTATGAAATTGTTGCAAAATAAAATAAGAATTATCATAAAACTAAATTAGAATAATATTATTCTATGTTTAAAACCATTTTTTAAAATAGGAAAGAATAGGAAAAGCTGGCCGTAATGAAATTGTGGAGGTACAATTTATAGTGTTTGATTACCAACAAGGGATGCGTATTATGCATGAGTAGAAGCATTTTCAGCACAATTTTAGGTGTGCGCATTATGGATGAAGGTGTATTATACATGGGGAATTACGGCATACTCTGGCTTCCATGTTCAATGTCCATTCAAAAACCATCAAGAGAACAGTGAATAAGTTTAAAAAAGAGGGAACAGTGGAGAGGAAAATTGGATCAGGAGGTCACAACAGAAAGAGGGATCATCATTTCAACTTAGAGCTAAAGAGATCAATTAAAAAAGATCCAACTCAATCCATAAGACGTTTGGCACATGTTTCAGCTACGACAGTCCAAAGAGCAGTGGAAAAAGACTTGGAGATGAAATCGTACATGAAACAATTGAAGCATATATATATATATATATATATATATATATATATATATATATATATATATATATATATATATTTGAACTTTATTTCAATTCTTCATGAGCTTAATTAATGATGAACATGTCATTTTTCTTTATGATCGATTTCATCACGATTCTTCTGTTAAGTTTGGGGAGTAATTATACATTCTTATTGCTCAAAGTAGAGTCCAATTCCAGTAAGATATCTTTAATCATTTCTAAGATAACATTTAAAGCTTAATCTGACAATTAGACAATTTTGCTGTTACATCCGGTATAATTCCTATATTTTATCTTGTCTATAATCCAACCAAAATGTAGTTTTACTGACAAATGTTAAGAACACAACGGACTAAACATGTGAGCAACAAGGAAATATTTTTGTTTAAATTTCTGGGATCAGAGCTATCATTATTTACATTATTTATATTCTGACTGTTGTCTTTATCACAATGTTTCAGCCGTTGTGTCCTCCGGCCTTCGTCAGGTGCGTATCCTTTACATTCGCCACAAACATTTTTACCATAGGAAACTTCGCCTTATAGGATTTTTGCCGTAAAACAATTTCGCCGCATTTTTTTTCGATACCCTTAGCTTGAACGTCTCTTTTGGAGTAATGTTCAATTTACTATACGAAGTACCTTGTTATCAAGAATATATGGGTGTCTTTTTAACAAGGTCAAATATTAAAAAAGAAATTAAAAAGTAAGCATTTATTTAAAAAAATAAGACTAAAATATATGAAATTAACAAAGATATAATTTAAAATGTGTGCAAATTCCAAGCAATGCTTTGTAAATAATGTGTTTTTTTTTTTTGCGTTGGACTTAATGAAGCATTTTTCGTTCAAGTCTTGCATTGATATCAATATATATTTTCTTTATTTGTACTGCATATCCTCCATCTAAATCACGCATTTTCTTTTTTGCTAATGTCTTTTCCTTTTTCAAATACGCAATTAGTTTCGATAAATTTGGGTGCATCCTATAACTTTGCTTATTAAAATGTTTAAATCGAAGTAACAATAGTGTGAGCCAGATATACGTGATAACAAGGTACTTCGCATATAAAAAAAAATGCAACGAAATTGTCTTACGGCAAAAAACCTATACGGCAAGTTTTCTACGGCGAAAATTCTTGGGACGAACTTTCTTACAGCAAAAAATGTTTACGGCAAATTTTCCTGGAACCCCTCAGGTATATATCGAACTGGATAACCTACAGGGGATTCTGAACTGGGGTAGACTGTTCTCGGTTCACTGCTTATATCATACAGTTCTTATTTCTGTTCAGTTATGACTGTCTCGTTTCCATTGTGCACAGTAGCACACTGCCCGAATGAGAACAGTCTACTCCTGTAGATTAAATAAAGGGTTCACGTCTGAATTTCCTGTAAGTTACCCAGCTCGATATTCATCTGAGAAAGGCCAGAAGGCACAACGGCCGAAATGATGGGATAAAAACAACAAAGATGGGAACAATAGTCCGAATAGAAATAGTGTAAATAAAGAAATATTAAGCAAAATAGAAACAAGAAGGAGACCTATACTTACAATAAAAAAAGAGTTGAACTTTCTGAGCCACGAAATGAGTGCCAAGAGAATTTAACACCCACAGGACATAAATGAGTATTTCGTTATCATCTATGAAGATAAACTATAGGCCATATTGGCGCCATTAAGGTATGATAATGGGGTTAATAATATCCCACAGATAAAGTAGCTAGTGATGGTTTCATGAACGGGCTTAACTTCCTGTTGTTGGTTACTACTCTCCAGACTTACAGCGCGATTTCCAACTCGATGGTTTGGGGCAACCTCAAACCTATCATAATGCCCAACTCTGTGTCTACATACACACAGAAGACGGTCATTTCTAGTACATAATGATTCCGAGTCCATCAGTAAAACAACATTGTCGATCATTGTGGCAATGTCCACCTAACATTCTAAAAAGAATACCCGCTCGGCCCGGTGGCTAGGATCAAAGTGTAGTATCTGTGCTTTGTGAGCTGCCGAGCCGGGTGTCTGTCGAACTCTCTGCTTGCATAGAGGAACCCGGACGAAGCTCCGCCGAAGGGTAGGGTTTCGTTCGGGGAGGTTGACGGAACTAGCCCGCTTGGTCGGGTTTAGATGGGTTTTATTTTTGGCTGGGCCTACGGGCTCAGACATACCCACATTAAAAAGGCCTTGTGCCACATTCAATTCCTGTGGGTGAATTGATAAATACCATCTTTAAGGAGTGTAACACATAACGCCTGCCTGCCATGCAATTCAAAACAGTGAAGCCGTGCTGTCTGACGGTATATTCTCAGCTCTCAGACTTGCTTAGAAATTCGTTGCGATAGCACATGACACAGGTTCGGATATACAGATTACGGTCAATAACACGTACATCACCGGAACCTGGCCGCTCCCTTACTGCTCCTGTTAAATGGTGTGGGGAATAAAATAGACTGTTCATAAGAAGCAGCGTCCTGCCGTCAAGTGTTAGCTTGTTGTTCATTGTACTTACGACAGTATATTGTAACCACAAAAATCAGCACTGAAGGTCTTTGTATATTGTATAGACGTAAAAAATATATCTGAACACACTGGCCACTACCAATACTTGTTGATAGTTTTTAACCTATCGCAGGTTGGCGGCTATCCCGCACCTGTTGGACAAAATGTGAGCAAAGAAAACAAGTGGCATATTTTTCCTGTGTCCAGACACGTGTGTCTACACAAAAATGAGGCCATACATGACAAACAAACAGAATAAAAAACAGACACACCTTAATCCTGATATTGCTAACTTGTTTATTACGGATACATACATATATCTTTTTACTTATATTGTTTATATATATATATATATAGAGAGAGAGAGAGAGAGAGAGAAGATCAAAATAGCCTAAAAAAGAAAAATTTCCCCAGAAGTGGTTTACCGGTGCGACAAAAAAATTATTCAATGTCATATGGAACAATAACAACATGGTAGAGAAGTTTACAAATTCAAGCAAAAAGAAAAAAAAATGCTCGACAGTAAAGTCACCCATGTCATAGCATTTATAATTAGATATAAGAATAAGCAACTCCCAAAAGTATATTGTGATATAAGAGTTCTTTTTTTTTCACAAACTATATCTACCGACCGCCTAATGATGATGATGACTGTGCGGAAGTGCATGAAACTGGCAGTCGTGGTCGGTCACTGAAATTAGACTTTTTATATATATATATATATATATATATATATATAAATTAAATGTGTATGTTATACGCTGGCAAACCGTAAAGCACTCAAATTCGGCAAATACTTATTAAGCATCACCAAAACGACTTATTGACTGGACCTAGCGGAAGGTTTTTAACATGAAGTGTAAATTGCATCAATGCGAAAAAAGCATTATCACAATTACCGCATGTAATTGCTTGTTGTAAGACTGTAATTTGTCTTATTAATGTCGCGAAAAAAAAAAAAGAAGTGTTCCTTGAAAATGCTAACTTCATGGAATAATATATTTTTTCTTAAGTATATACATTTCATAGCATTTTTAAATGGCTATTTATCAGGAAAAATGGAATCTATTTTGCTTCTTTTTGGCTATAATTATATATCATCAGATATTGCTGAAAATGAACCGTAACACTCATGAGTAGTAATACATTTTTAATCGGCAATGAAAATTGTAAAAATAGGCATTTCTTA